AATAATTCTAGGCCGTTATTATTTTCATATGTGTTTTATAGGCATAAGACATTTATTCCTTTGATAAAACTAGTAAGCCAATTTAAAAATACTTTTAGCTCGAAGTAAAATATTTCTGATTAGCGTTTTTTACGTCTAAGTAATGTATATTAATATATTCCTATTTCGTTAATATTTATTAGTCATTTAATTTTTTGTTGTACTGTAAAACTTCATGTTTAATAGAATATAATCATGAAAATTCCGAATCTTAAAGATAACAAATAGCTGAATGTGTTTATTTAAAATACAAGTACCAGTAGATAGGTTTTGTCCTAACCGCAGTGTCCAGTGAACACTCACTCATTCAATAGCTTTATTATGCCAAGTATTCAATGCACAAGGAACTCCTTATCAATGAGGGACGATATGTTAGTTAGGGTAATTGTAGGATTACATTCATCTTCTACGTCCATTACTTTATATAAAAATGTACATGCAACTGCTGCGTCATCTGAAACATAAATTAATTTCATAATCCGCGAAAGAAATGGGGAAAACACCAAAGCTCAAAGAGACACATTTTCTTGTTTAATTAGAAAATGACCCGGTGTTTCAACTTCGGAACAATTTTGGACTGACCAATTCTTTTCACGTTTCGATGATTTTCAACCGCTGTTATAAAAAGATACTTTCGGGGCCAAAGTCAAATTGCAAGTGTCAACATGGAAATAATAAGAAAAAATTGATACATCTCCTTTAAAGAAATACAAAAATTTATAAAGCCCAAGTGACCGGGCATCAGTACAATTCTTTTGTATGGCAATTAATTAAGCACTTGTCAATTTTCTGTCAAAATGATTAAATCTTCCTTTCATGTGTTGCTTCCAAATCTTCAGACCAATTATCAATCTATATATTACAAATATAGAAATACTTCCATACAATCAATGGATCAACAATTATATAAATAATTACGATGTCTTGAACAAAATTGTACGGTGTAAGACCAAGGTTTGTTCTTTAAATCCAAACGTTGCTGGTACTGAACGGACTTTAAGTTTCAGGTAAATCATCACTGTCTATAATTTTAATAAATACCTATTGTCTAATCTTCAAGTTTTTTGGGGTTTTTTTTTAAAAAAATACTGTTTTAGATATATGTTCATTTTCTTCTAATGATCTTGCTTTTTTCCTCTAATTATCTTGCTTTTTACATCATTTTTTCTTGTCATTGTTTCAAAATCATATCTATTTTTATTCAATCTTGTAAATTGGAAATAAGTTTCTTTTATTCTTCGAACTTATCTAATGTTTCAATGAGGCAGGGATTGATGGAACTTATTAAAATATGATTTACATATTTTCTTTTAGGTGACGCGATATTGTTGTGATTGTTACTATTTCAAGTTGAAATGATCATATATAGGCATCAATTGTTAGCATACATCTAATAGCATTACTCTTAAACATACAAAAAAGGTGAAAGCTGTGGCAAATATACTTAATTCTGAAACTAACGCATTGTATTTTCAATGAAAGTGAACCGAAAATGCTTTACATACATGTATATACATATTTGTATAATATAACAAAACAACAACAACAACAACAACAAAAACTACTCATAATTGAATGATGACATAAATATTTTTGATAAACAATTTTGATCATATTCTTAACAGCCGAAAAAACAAATTCCGAGTATGAACACATGAGCCAAAGTTTCATTTCTAGCGCAGTGTGATAGTTCTGAATAAATCTACGTCATGGACTGACTATGTTTTTGTACGGACTATTTCCTGTCTGGCATCGTAAATCCAAATTATTGATTTACAACAATGCATTCGATCTGCTAATATCTGCGACTATTTTTGGATTTCATGTCCCCATTTGGCATATTTATAACGACAATATCATGTTAAAGACTCTATTTGCATTCTCTCAATGAAATACAAGCAGAGCACTTTTGCTATCTTCCAATCTCCATCATAGATATTGCAAATATTTTAAACACCCTCGACATAATTTGATTCATATCTGCAAGTTTTCTATTCTTTGTGCAAGCATAGAATTGCTGATGTTGTCATTTTCATTAACAGGGATATGGGAACATGTTTTGTTATGAAAAATTATTTGCATGTGCAAAGATAATACATGTTCATTATCAGCCATTTACCAGGTTAACGAGAACAGTAGCACCAAAGTGAATAGTTTTTTTTATTGTGTCAATTCTTTCAAATTTCAAAACCATATATAATGTTATATTCTTGAACTGTTTTAGAAAAAGTACCTTTGGGCTAGTTAAAAGAATCACAGTGAAAAGCAATATTCTATAATATAGAAATAGATCTGTGTGCTATATGAGCATATTTAAATATTCTTCCAAAAACAACTTCTGATATTCCCTGAACTGGACAGATAACCGACACTTTCATATCTTTTCTATAACTCTCCAAATTGCGCAAAATACCTTAATTATAATACTTCATTAAGAGTGAATCATTGTCAAACTTATTTAACACCCTTTTTCTTACCTGAAGCACATTTTTGTAGAATCATAGCTGGATTAAGAAACTACAAATTTGAGCTCTATGTTCAATATGAAGATTGGACTAATCAAGAGAAATTTAGTCGCACATTTTGTAATGGTTCGCGTGTCAAAAAGTTTCGTTTACCTGATTTTGTCAATGCTCGGGAAATGAGTTCAAAATTTAATGTAAATAAAAATGATACAATTTCAACTGGAATCAACAATTAACACCTCAAACATGAGACGTTTCAAAGCGATCATGAGTTCTTTAATATCCGTAAATATCAAACATTTTAGTACGGTAGACGTTTAATTCATTCATGTTTTTGTGTGTATGTACAAATAGATCTACTAGGACGAGCGGCTTATCATTAATCACATTCTGTGTATTTTGATATTATCTAATCGTTTTACCCACGCCCGTGATTGTGTGTGTTTATTGTAACTGTACGTAGTATTAACTAAACAATGAAATGACACCTAAACATGAATAATTATAACTGATCTTATTACCTAATAGATAGATTGAAAATAAAATGATTAATACCGGCTGTAAATACAAATGATTTATGACTTCTTATGACAAAACTCGTGTTGATCAAAGATTTCTATCTTATACATATATTTCTTTATTGATAAACTTATCAAATCGCAAACTGTCAGTTAATTATTAAATTTTATCAACATAAACGTATACGTTTAGTTATTAATTATGAATGTTTAATATTACTTAATGATATAGTTAAATGATTAATTGCTGTCTCAGTGATTTATAGGTTAAATAGTTAAATGTGTTATAGTTTCAATTTTCAAATCAGTGTTTTTATGAATACATTCGTCTCAACAAAAGATCAAAGAATTAACCTTCATAAATGTAAAATTTCTTGTATTCTGCACGTCCTTAAATATACGTGATTGTTTGTTTTGCGTCTCACGGTAGATTATTTTCATCAACTTTGATGTAAAGTGTGTCTCAGATGTACATATCTAATGCCAGTTCAGACAAAATGTACTTTAAGTTATGCAGAAAATAAGACCTTGGGCATGTCATCAGACATTCCTTACAAATGTTTAAAGCAACGTGATCAAATTGCATTGCATGAATGTTTATTAAGTTTATACCATTAGAATTTTCTTGACATCTTATAAATAAATAAGGCAATGACCCCATTTCCACAAGAAGCTTCATTACCAAAAAATGACACAAAGTTTACCTAGAAGCTCTGCTTTGGTTTCAACTTTGATGTTGCAAAATGTAACGAAAAATCAACAGTATAAACATTAAAGCAATTTTTTAAAAGTACAGACCCTTTGTATTTTAATTGCAGAAGTCGGAGGAAGTCCGAAATAAAGTTACTCAGTATTGTTAAATTTTTGTAGTTAAAAATCAATGATTTCAATACTTATAGTGTTGGAAGTGGAATACTGCTCGAGCCGGTGCTGGCGAGGGGGTTTAGTCATATATAAGTGTTTTTTTCTTTCTTTTTCTATCAATTTAATTAATCGAAACCTTTTTGCGATTTTTTATTTTCATTACTGCCCCTTTACCAAAAAGTGAATAAAATAGTATTTTAATTAACCTATATATAATTCATAATGCCATGTTATAGAGTTTCACAAAAAAAATGCAAATCAAGTAAATATCTTTTGATATCGGCCTGGTCAGTTATAATGAAAAATTTATTCACTGCAACTATAAAATGTATAAAGCTTGTTAAAAAATTCTATAAAATATATAAATGATAATATTATGCTGTTTCAGCAATCGTATTGTAACGTAGAATGATTGTCTCTTTTATCTAAAACACCTACATATAATATTATGCTGATATTTTAAGGAAACACTTCAACCATAATTATAACAATGATCTAGCTCTTAAGGAAAAAAGAATCAAACATATTCAATCATACAAATATTTCAGGTATTTTTCTTTCAAATTAAAACATATTTTTGTAAACATGCAGAGAGAAGAGAAGATATATAATTCACCTTAATTGAAAAATGGCATCAGATTTAAAAGCAAACGACATGAATCTTTATACAAAGTGTGGGATCATACTATGCCATCCTTTGCCAACACTCCTACAGTTTTCGTTGTTAACTCACAATTGACGGTTATGCTAAATGTTAATTTAAATGAATTATCAAACCTTATATTTACTATTATGTATCTAATTCTTGCTTTGGTTTGTGACAATCCGTACCAGTCATTTATCAAAATTAGTGTTATAGTATGAAATATGATTAACCTCGCGAATTACAACAGCTTTTCAAAGGAAACACAAATCATATTTGTAGCAATTTTATCATTAGCAAATTGTAAAATAAAATTATATCACCGTAATTCGTTAAGGAAAATCTAAGATATATAGTAGCTAGCAAAGTTCCAATGATAAACGAGTGTATGAAATTGATACCTGCAAAGCGGTATTGGGTAAAAGAAAACCTAACTATTTTTTCCATAATAGATTGAACACTAGATCACTAAGCTCGTGATTATCACTTTATTAACTTCTTATATTCATTTATTCACTTATCAAACTATTTCAATTTATTAGAAATAATCTGGATATCGGACACATAGTTTTTTTAATAATCACATTGTCGTTAATAAAACTGGACTTGAAAACTGCAATGGTTGTGAAGGAATGTGGAAGAACAACTAAGCATATATGTTTCACAGCTTCTGAATGAAAACTACCTTAGGAATAAACTATCTTGTACTATTTTTAAATTAGAAGTATTTATATTTGTAAATTGTGAAAAGATGCACAAATAGTAACCAAACGTTTAAAGTACAAATATTCTAAGGATTATTTAGCGGTATAAATAACAAAGATGAAGATCTAAATGGAGGAATATTATTCTAAAAATGGACTAGAAATATTTTACAGTGACACAGAGCGTGTAATTAACAGGAAATGTATGGATGTCAATATAAGGTAAGAAAATCCTCTATAATGTATTCACTGTAATACCTCTAATCAATGCACCTTGTCTTTGTTTTGTCTTTTTCACGAAAGCTTAAATCTCAGTCAATATATAATTGTGTCACCTAGCTTAGCGTTAAGCTTACTTAATTGAAGTATTACTTTGTGAAGTAGCGTTGTTAAATGTACTTGTTTAAATGATGAACCTGCCAGTCATTGAAGGTATAAACGGCTCACTTAACAAACCATTTAAAAATCATGTCAAGATATAACTGATGTTTTGTCTTCCTGATTATAATTTTTGAATTTCCCATTTTCTAACATCCATCTTTTTTAGTCCGATGCATCGAACAAAACAGACCCTATACGAATTATAACTTTAGGTATATTGTAAAAATTGTTAACTTAGTACCTGGGAATTTATCAGATACAATACGATAATGCATTCAACGTGTGAAATATTTCGTGTATCATGAAAACGTGAACTATGTATTAGGTCAGGGATGAGACGGTTTCTCGTATTGGTGTCAAATACTTTGTCATATTTATCCGCTTAAAAACTCATCATATCTGTTGAATGTAATTTTGACAGGTGACTTAAATACTGTAAATTAATGCTAATTTAATATGTAAGCTGCACTGATGTATAAACAAAACTATTAAAAAGCTACGGTTCATGTCTATATACATAATGATATAACCTTAAGACCCTTATTGCTATTTTTAGTTTTTAGTGCATTGAATAAAAAAAACACAATGACTATTTGAAAAAAAAACGCCCCACCAACACACAAACAATGAAGAATTGGGGGATTATACTTAAATCTATCTTTCCTAATATAACATTTAAATTCACGTTTATGACAGCAATGCTGGTTCAAATTAAAACAGCTTATGAGGTACAACCACGACGATATTATTTATTTATCTAAGGTAATGTGCATATCTAAGATTTCTGTTGATCTGCAGCACTGTTAGTTTTTCTGCTGCTCCAGATTCGTTGATGTGTTGGAGTTTTAGTATAGGTTAGTGTTTAATAATACGTATAAAAAGCTGTTAAAGGTCGTACATTATGGTCTAGTACTGTAGGGCATGTTGGATGTTGAACGTTCTATTATATCTCATTTTGAGACTCAATCAAACCGAATTATTTATTTTATTTTCAAAACCTTTGAAGGATGCTGTTTTTCGCGGTTATATTTTGTAAAGAAAAAAAGATCATAATACATAAAATGGATTGCCAGTTATTATGTAATCAAATCATTATAATATTAGACTTGTTTATTGTCGAATTATCAAATTATTTACTAAAGGTCAAACAAGTACTCATGAAGGTCATTAACATTATGATATCATGAGGTTAAATAATGATAACATGATTAAGCAAAAATGCGTACTTTTGTCTTGCTGGACCTTGAAATTTGGTTATTCGGTTAGATCAACATATGTCCTATCCAAACATGCACCTATTGCAAAATTAAGCACTTCGTATCCCTTTAAAAAGTGTTCTATTTAGATGTGATAAGATAAACTTGTTATTTATAGACAAAGAAAAATTAACTTGTAAAGCAAAAGTGTAAAAGGATATTTATACATTAAAAAACATTAAGATATGAGCAATGGATAACAAATTTATCCAAAACACCACCTTTAAGGGCGGAACAATAAAATGGGAAAAAACTGTTTTGTGTTTTACTTAACTTACCCTTGGGTGAACCTTTAATAGCGGAATTGTTCAATGAATGAGGTGAATGTAATTACTAAAGGTCAAGATGTCAAATAGGCATGACTATGATCACAAGCGGCATAGCTAAGAAGTCGCTTAATATGATATCACAAAAAATAATTAACAAACAAACACAAGATATCGTACACTAGTGTACCGGTGTCATTATAAATGACATAACAAATTCTAAAATTTCTGTTTTGACAACACACACATATTTCTTCTTTAAAAATGAAAATACTGACGTAACACAGGCACATGCAGTGTAACTTCTGTCTTAAAGTTTATTAAGTGCAATTTTAAGCTTCGACGAAGAAATGTGTACAAGTCTTAGTCTAATAAAAGCCTTAATTGCTGTTTTCTTTACATTGATGATAACTCAAAACTGGTTCTTTTCCATTACATCTGATTAGGTCTACATCAGTATCAAACTTAACATTTCTGTGGTTGCTGATTTGTGCCATGTCGTAGTTTTGCCACGCGGGGCGCTAGACGAAACAAAGAAAACACTAAAAAAAGGAACCACTTTGCTGTATTTTCGTGTTTTACCTTGAGCCTTGCAGAGCAAAAGGAAGACGAAGTGGTCAAATTGTCGTAATTTCGTGTCTTCGCCTTGCAACCTGTGGAGCAAAAATACGACATGACACAAATCAGCGACCATATTTTTCAGTAGAAAGTAGAAAATGATAACCCTATAGCCATCAAAAGATCACATTTGTATTTATTACTGATATAGATTAACCTGCTTTAAATTTGGAGCTCAAAGAATTTAGATAAAAAAATATATGAATTAGTTACTACCAATATAAAGCCTGCTTGGTCAACATGGATGTGCAGGCTTGTCTTGCTCTATACTTGGGACAAAGGTTGTATCACTTTCAGTTGCAACAGGGAAAGTGTTAAAGCCTTTTGTGAACTGTGTATGGCATTAACACACAGACTAAAAGTTTCCCAATAATTGTTGGCAAATTAGAAGTAACAATGTCGTGCAGGCGAGGTTGGTCGAGAATTATTGTATCCTTTCTATCAATCTGTCAAGCATGTTTCTAAAATAAGTTGACAATACAATACTCTCACCTGTTTTATATTGAACTTTACCTATTCTTATAGATAAATAGTTGTTGTTGTTTTTGGATATTTTTGATTTTGCTATTTCCTCTTGTGTATGCTACATATGTTCTTTCGTGTTTACCTGTTGATAAATGGTGCGCAACTGTGTATGCCTGGTTGTGGGGGGTGGGGCGCTTTGATCTTTGGATGCTTCTCTTCCTTGTTGACTTTTTTCAGTAGTTTAATTTGTCAGACATTTAAGAGAAAATGCTTGCATAAAAAAGTTCATTGGAGAATTGTTCAGCACGACATCAATCAATTTAATCTTTGTCTTAATGAGTGATACTCTGACTTAAATACTGTTGAAATTAAATCTGCTTTTTAAATTTGTCTCATGGCAACTGTCCTGTCTCTGATATACAGGCTTTATAACCTCTGACCAACTCTCAAGTTTTCGTTTTGAGCACACCCATTTAACTTTTCTTGTGGACCTTTGGCCGCTTTTCAAGGAATGGTATGAAGTGTCACATTGAAAGTTCTATGATTAACGCCGTGTAAATTTGCGGTTACTTCTAACATGTAATTTATACATCATGTTATTTTGAATTGTTATTGTTGTTATATTAAATTGCAAAATGCTGGTTCTAGCGCTGTATAACCGTATTTTAAATTTGGTCGCGTGTGGCGTTCTTTAATGTTTCAATTTTATATATTTCATGAAATCAGTGATATACTAGGTATGGTTGCTCTCTTGCTATTTGATCCAGTATATTTTTGTTTTACGTATACATTTCTTAGTCTCCTACATATTTCATCTTTGTAATATAATTGATCTGATGTTTTATTTTACAAATAAAGAAAAAAATGATCCACATTGCAAATTTTAAACTTGATGCAATGTTTTAGTGATTTCCTTGTACATCCAATGAATGTGATATATGTTTCACCTTGTGAGAATGTTGTGCAGCTAAAGATTTCCGGGAATGCTTTATTGCTATGTTAAGAGGTATACCTAAAGCGATTAAAAAATATAAAGACTGCCGTTTTTATATCTACTTCATGATCTCTGAATGGTTTTGGCTTTGTGCACGGTATTTTTAAATGCACAACTTGTGTTTCTACCTCAGGCTGGTCCTTTCACGTTACATATTTATTAAATGTATTGTTGTGTAAGATCAAGGTTTGTATAGACTTTTTAACAAAAGTTATTACATTTATTACTTTAAGTTTTAGCAAACATTTAGCTTTAAACAAACTTAAATTTGTTTCAAACGCTGGAATTCTATCACTTCTTAGTAAATGTATTATTTGAAAAACTGCTAATATCATTAAAGAATGGTTTTAAAACATTATTAATGAAATTATGTTTTACAAAATGAATGTAAGTAGCAAAACAAGCCCATGTATTTTGCTTAATCGAAAATTTGATAAATCCACAATCAAATATAAAAATATGAAATATATATTCTGTTTAGAAAGAACAGAAAGTAATTAATTGGAACTGTTGCGCCATTCAGCCACATGTTTGGTTCGCCAGTTTATCGATGCAGCTTAGCATATCTAATGTTGTTTGGTTGTTTAAATGCTAATTACAAATATTTGAAATATAAGAAGTAAATGTTTATCAAAGCAGACACTTAAGATGGGTTACTCTACGTGACTCTATATTGAAGCCAGGAGCAGTGCACTCCCTTGAGTTACACTTTTTTGTGTAGTGTTGAGACAAAATACACCTTAAGTTTGATTAAACATCAAAACTTTATTCCGATAACTTATGCCTGTTAATGGCTCTTATTGTTTAAAAAAAAAATTCTTGTTTAGACAAACCATACATTTGATGAGCTGGCAATTATTTCAGAGGTTGTCGTTTTGCAATCTTAATTATTGCTGGTCTGCTGCTTTATACGCTTCAACATGAGTAGTTACTGGTATTTGTAAATCACAAACTTTATGGGTCAGTATATCAATTCAAGCATCTTCTTTAGTAAAACTCTTATAATTTCAACGTTTATGTTATTCAGAACTGTAGAAATCACATACATCTTGCAGTTCTTGTTAAATGACATTGTCTCATTTCGATTTTTTGAATTTTTCATTCATTTATTTGATGGTCTTTTTCTCCGCCAAAAAATAGAAAATTGTCAACTGTATACATGTATGGTCTGAGTGGACATTGAGACTGGGTTGGTCTCGCTTTATTAAAGTACTCTGCTTGCACTTCTAGCGGAAATATAAC